TATATATATATATATATATATGTATATCCTATTCATATTCTACATTGGGCGTCACCAAGTAGCACTCGACTTTAAGCCACATTAGAGAGCACACATAATTTCACGCTCGAAAAAATTACAATTTTGCCTAACGGCAAGTGCAAACAAAGAGCATACAATAATCTCATGCCCGACAAAATTACAATTTTTCCCAACACTAAGCACAAACAAACACTACTAGAAAAGTTTCATTTTCCTGCGAATTTTCCTGCAAAAAAATATTCGTAGAAATTTTTTGCAAATTTTCCTGCAAAAAAAATTTCGCAAAACTTTTTTGCGAATTTATTTGCGAAAAATAATTTACAGATATTTCTTACAAATTTTGCTACAATTTTAATAATCATAGAAATTTTTATCCATGGTAAAAATTTGCAGAAAATATTGTAAGAATTTTATTTTGTTTCTTGCAAAAATAACTTTGCAAGTAATGTTTACTAAATGGTAGAAAAATTTTGCAGGTAACTTTTCTTACGAATTTTCCTACAAATTTTAATCCGCAGGAAAAATAAAAAAAAAATATTTAAATTTATAAGTTTAATATTTAAAAAAAAAACTTCAAGTCCCACATCAATTGAAAATAAAACAATTAAAAAGTACATAAGTTGGAGCAACACTTACCTTACAAGTTGATTTGTATGGTTGAGTGTTAGGCTTATAATCTACAATCTTAGAATTTAAAATATTATGTGTTGGAGGCATGGAAACAAATGTTTCGGATGAATTCATTGTGAGCATTTGAAAGTTGAAAAATTAGTTTTTCGTAAAAAATATTCATGCAGAATTTCTTGCGAAAAAATTCGCAGGAAACTTTACTGCAAATTTTTTTTTGCAGGAAATTTTCATGCGAATTTTTTTCGCAAGAAATTTCGCAGGAAAATTTCCTGCGAATTTTAAAATTTGCAAAAATATATTATTCACGAAGATATTACCTGCAGATAAAATTTTGCAGAAAAATTTGTAGGAACAACGTTTTCTGCGAATTTTTATGAAAAATCCGTAGGAAAAGTCGCATGTAATAATAGAAATTCTAGTAGTGAAAGACTCCTCGAATTGATTATGCTCGGCATGATACATAATAGAAATTCTAGTAGTGAAAGACCCCTCGAATTGATTATGCTCGGCATGATACGTTCCACGGTAGACTTAACCCTTCTTAGGCTTAACAATCATTAGTATGAATGCAAGCCCGACGCCAAGGACTCACGCCTAGTGCCATGCGGTTTCTAAAAAAATATAGGACGAATTGAACATC